CCCCGCCCCCCCCCCCCCCAGCCTTTGTCTCTTCAACAGCTCAGTGTCTCTCAGGGGGAGTTGGGAAGAGCTCCTTCAGACTGTAACAGCTCCTCCACACAGGGCAGAGGGCCTGCAGCTCTTATCTCTGCAGCCCAGCTTTCTTCCCAGGGCCAGGTAGGCAGATTCATTAGGAATTGCAGCCAGGTCCTGCAAGCTCCCCAGCAGCACCACTGCTCCCAGGTCTGTGGATATGGGGGCTGCAGGGAGAGGCCCTGACTCTGGCCTTCCTGAAACACCTGCTTGGGTTATTTCCCAGAAAGTTCTGTTGACCAAATTTTAACTCAGCTCCCTGTCTGGGCATTAGAAATAGAAACTCTTTAACACATCTGTTACCCTTTCCACTTAGAGGAATCCCACCCGGGGTTTATAAATATTTACCTCTGATATGTTAAGGATGGGACAGCATTCCTATGTATATGCTACATGATGAACTGAGAAGAATCTCAAGCCCAGGAAGTTACAGTGCAGTGTGGTATCAAAGGATTTTATATGACGATTAGAAAAATTTGGTAGCATTTTGATGTGTCACCATTTCCTTTTAAAAAGCAGATCTAATGAACCGAAGGCCATGCAGATCCTAAAGGCTATACAGCTTGAAGAGAACGTTAAGAGGGTAAACAGAGACAGCATAGCATAGTGGATAGAAATATGATCCTTGAGTAAAGCCAACCTGCAGTTTGAATCCCAGTTCCGCCACTTACCAGCTATGTGATTTTGGACAAGTTGCTAAATGAGCTTTAGTTTCTTCATGTGTAAAAAATGCATACAGTGCCAAGTGTATGTAAAGTTATATATTTTTACCAAGCACCTACTATGCACTAGGTGTCCTGCGTAGGCAAGGCCTAAAGCAGCTGTTGGGGTGGAGGCCTGGGGTGAGGCAGTTTTGAGATTAATTGCAGCTCCACCACTTCCCAGAATGCTGCTGTCCTTGGACAAATTATTTAACTTCACTAAGCCTCAGTTTCCCATCAGAAAAAAAGGAGGTCAGAACAGCACCTTCCTTGCAAGTTTATGACTAAATTAAAAAAAACGCAGTTGACATGATGCCTACAACAAAGTAAAGGCTCAACAAATAGCTTTCCTCATGACTTCAGCCTCACAGGGTGATTCTGATATATGGTAATGCTCCTTTTCTAGACACAAGGAGGGAAATGCAGCCAAGGCTGAATTCTTTAAAATCCTTGTTTTCTATCTGTTTTTGCAGGGTCCTAATTCTAATGAGCAGTGGAAGAAACTAGGGCATATATGATTTTATGCTTTCCGTATTTTGGGAGTTGGATAGAATTCCCGAATGGATTGTTGTTTAAAAAAAAAAAAAAAAAAGGGGGCGCCTGGGTGGCGCAGTCGGTTAAGCGTCCGACTTCAGCCAGGTCACGATCTCGCGGTCCGTGAGTTCCAGCCCCGCATTGGGCTCTGGGCTGATGGCTCAGAGCCTGGAGCCTGTTTCCGATTCTGTCTCCCTCTCTCTCTGCCCCTCGCCCGTTCATGCTCTGTCTCTCTCTGTCCCCAAAATAAATAAACGTTGAAAAAAAAAATTAAAAAAAAAAAAAAAGGATGAAAACAACAGCTTTAGGAGAATTGAATCCATAATTTGGATATAAATCCTTTTTGATTTCCAGATGAATTGCCAATTTAGTAGTAGCTCTACCTTCACCCTGTAGGTTCATCCCAGACACAGCTACATGGCCTATGAACAAATGCTTGCACAGCTAGGTGCTAAACTACCATTTAGACATTGTGGCCCACCAGGAACACCACCAATTTTAAGCTGGACAATACTTAATGGCTGCAACACTTGACATCTACTAACCTTATTTGTGTCTTGTTTTTTAAGGACACAATAACATTTTAGATATGAGAAAAATGTAGCATAAGGAAGAAAGCAGTCCAGTGTAAGGATGAAGACTGCCAGACAGGAAATAAGGCAGGCACAGCTATAAGCCTTACAAGGAAGCATTTTGCTTTCATTCATGTGGGTTGCTATCCTCCAGATTCTCATGACATCAGTTTGATGTTTCAATATAACATGTAGTAATACAAATACCATATTTGGTGTACTATATACATCCAGTTTTCCAATTACACAAAACACAAATTGTGGAAGACTTCCTGATATAGAATGGTGGCTTAAATTAAGGCACAGCTGTATAGCTACCTGGTGCCTCCCTGGAAGAATCTGCTTTGGCATAGGAAGAAGCTACAATCAGAGAGTGGCTCATGAGAGGTATTAACAAAGAGAATAGGCCCCACAGTAATCAAAACCACCATGAAGGCACTATGAGGTCTTGTGTTCTTGTGCCTCCATTTGGAGAGGTCAGAAAAAGAAGGGAAATCAAAACTGGAGAAAAAAGGACTCCTGTGGGCAGAGATGGTAGTAATGCTGGGATTATCAATTCTGAATAATTACTAAATTTGATCCTTATTGAATATGTTGGATTTGCCCTATTGCTACTTTAAGTAGCTAATAAAAAATATAATCAGAAAAACATAGAGAGAGGAGATCACCCCTCTTTCCCTTTGGGCTTTCCATGCCCGTGGACAGATGGCAGAAAAGAATGGACTGCCTTAAACTTCATGTAGGTGTCCATACAATCCTAGGAAAAAGGTGTTCACAACTTTAGGCTTGATCTTATTAGGCTTATGGTTAAAGCAGGAGACAGTTGAAATGAGAGACTAGATATGATCCTGCGTAAATTCCCTAAATCTTTATTCACAGAACTGCAGTGCTGCCTGAAATGTGTTTTGGTGATAGTTTTAAGGGCCTTAAAGAATTTTTAGTGGTATTCAACTTACATGTTTCTCAACTTTTTGGGTCATGAACTTCTTTGGGAATCAGATAAAGGTATGGACCCTCAGAAAGTTATGACTACCCGCCCCCCCAATAAACATCCAAACATATATATATAATCTCAGAGGGCTCACTGCCCAGAAGCCCAGGTTACGAACCTCTGCCTTATGTCCTCCCAACTGAATAAAAAGGCAGCGGTGGTAATTGCTTAAAGAGTAACATACATCTTGATGTGAATGAATGGAAAGAGTGGATGGAAAGACTCAACAGAATTTAAATAGGTCTAGAAGGGACTGGGTATTGGTGATACTAGTTGGAGACAGTGGAAGGGAGGGGTGTTCAGCTGGGCCAGGAGCCTGGCTTAAGTGACCCACTGGATTATATGACCAATACCCACAGTGTGCTACATCCTAGAGCCTGGTAGGCTACTCTCTAGTGTGCCAAAATCATCTGCTTCTTTCAGCTGCCCTGTGTGCTTGGGCCAAGTTGTATATGATTCCAAACCTGTTTATGCCTGTTTGTATTTTTTATTTATATAATAACATAATTAAATATCACATAAACCTATGAAAAACTAGTGCATTAAAGATTGTTTCTACGAAAACAAAGTCAAATGCTTTGGAAAGACATAACACAACGAGTGTACAATTGTTGAGTTGGGAATAGTAGGCAACTGTAAAAGATTGGAGGGGCAGGGGACTTAAAAATCTCAAAAGTATTCTACATTCAGATTGCTTCAAAAGTGTTTAAATTCTCACTCCATTTTAAATAAACCAAACCTGGAAATCATAGATGATGAGAGGCAGTGGCACATTAGAATTACCTGGGAAATTTAAACCAGGGAACCTTCCTCCTCATTCTGACTTAATTAGTCTGGACTGGGGCTCAGGCATCAGTACTTTTAAAAGTTCTCAGGGTGCAGCCAGATTTGAGATTTGCTTGTGTAGTTTATACCAGAAAGGCAGTTGGGAACTCCAGTCAGCAGAATTATAAAGAAAACGCCTGGATATTACCCCAAAAGATTGGTGAAATGAATATACTTTTAATGACAATGCTTAAGAGATGTATGCATCATTTAAAAAATTCCCAAGTTTAACTGGCTTTTTTTTTTTTTTTTCCCAATCATTGCCATCTACCTGTCCTAATCATATAATATAAAAGGGCTTCAAATGTATGGTGAGAAGGAGGTTTGTATGTAAAAGATCTCCTGATCTGGGCCCACATTACCAAACAGGTCTCAGCTTGAGTCTTCTTTCAGTTTAGAAGTCTCATATTAGGACGCAAAACCAGGAACCTCTGAGGATTTGGGTTCTTTTACCTGGTTTGTTTTCTGAGTATGGCTGGGTAGGGGGGTCAGGGGCAGTTTCTCCCAAACCTTTCATTCCCAAAGACCACTGCTCCCCAGAAGTAAGGCCAGATTTCTGTGCGTGTGCTGAGGTCGCCAGGAGGTAGTCGTGGGGGGGGAGGTGGAGGCCTGGGAAGGAAACGTTTCTCCTATCCTCCATTTCGCAGGCAGTCTACAAGGCTCCAAACTGGGTCAGAGAACAAAAAGTTGCTGCACTTGGGGCGATGAGCCCCAGGGAGCAGGCGAATCTCAATCCTCCCCTCGCCGAGACCGTCCCAATCCAGCCTTCCCCTCCTCCCTACACACCCACTCACCCTCCCCCAGTTACAACAGGGAACCGAAAAGTCCAGAGGAGAAAGAACCAGGCGACTTCGAGCCTAGAATCCTCCTCCCCCCAGCGCGGGGATGGGGCTCCGGAGGTCGGAGATCGTATAGGGGCTAGGAGGGGAAGTCGAAGGGGCTGGGGATCACTCACCGCGGTCCGGCCCGGGCGGCGGCTCCCAGCCTCGCACCATGGGCCGGGGGGAAAGGGGGAGAAAGGGCAGGGGGCCTCCGGGGTGGGAGTGGGGTTCCCGCCCGGTGCGGCCTGCTCCAAGCCCACCCGCGCGGAGGGCCGGGACCGGGACTGCCCCCCCTGTCCCCGAGAGCGCGCCCGTCTAAGCCCAACCCTGCTCGAGCGAGTTGGGGGCGGGGCGGATGGGTGGGGGGGGTGCTCCAGGGGCGGTGCCAAGGTGGCCCGAGTCCGGATTGGTAGACGCAGGCAGGCGGACACTGGCGGAACGCACTGGGCCGACCATTGGCTGCGTGAGTCTCGGCTGAAGTCGGCTATTGGCTGCGTCGGCTTCAGCCGGGGTGGCTATTGGCTGCGTGGGGCAGGGAAGATGTCCCCCGGGGCCAGGGTGCTGTGAATGGTACCTCCCCCCGCCTTCGACCTTTCCGCGCCGGACCTTCGGAGCACTGCTAGCCCTGGTCGTCCCGAAATTCCCCTGGGAATTCACAGCAGTTTGTTGAATTGCCTTACAATTGTTCCCTATTTGTTCCTCCTGAAGGAAGACTTTTTTCAGCACCCCCTTGTCAGACTTACGCACGAGCTGAGCCGCGCCCGCCCAGCCGAGGGCCCAACCGCCGTCAGCAGCGTCGTTGTAAATGTAGCGCCTAGAGCAACCGGGAACTTGTTCTACAGATGGATCAAATGTCTTGCCACCTGAAAGACGAGGATCCTAGCTGTCCGGCGCCTTCGGAACACTGCACAGGTGTTCCCAAAGACGAAGTGTCAGAAGGGGGCACTTGTTTGGGACCTACCAGATCCCCAGGTCCCCTTTCTGTCCCAGTGAAGAGGACCTGGAACTCCACCTCATATCTGGGGACCTTGGTTTTCTCTTGTCTAGAAAGGGATGGCAATGAAATGGACTTTTCACCAAAGTGGTAGTCCACACCCCGAAGTTCTGGGCCAAAAGTTTGTATATTTAGGATTCTCCGTCTTCGACTAAAACTTGGGAATGGTACTTTCTGAAGTGATTCTTTTGTTCTCACGCTGGTCTTTGAAACTGTCTTCTTGCCTATTTAGGTCACTTAATAGCTTATATAGCCACAGTAATTTATAAAAAAATTTCAGACTTTGCCCTGTATTCCGCAGATAGACCTCACCCCTCTCTATATACTCCCCCAAAACACCACTACTCATTATTACTCCAATTTAAGGTCTAGAGCTCTTTCAAGGTTGTCAGACATCAGAAATTTATTTCCTAGAAAAGAAAGAAAGAAAGAAAGAAAGAAAGAAAGAAAGAAAGAAAGAAAGAATTTATTTCCTCTTCAGCATTGAGCCCTATTTTATGTTACTATCCCTGTGTTTACCCCTGCCTGCCCCCAGCCCCATTACATTTAATAAAACTAAACTTCTAAGAGCCAGCCCTACATCCTTCAAACTAGTATCCGGCAAAAACATCATAGGAGTAAAAAAAGCAAAGATATATATACTCAGCTTTAGAGTTAGAAACTTCTGATCCCTCAGGGTTTAAGCCAGGGCTGGTGGTATATACAAAGTTTGTCCTAAATCATGACTACTACAATGCCCCGATGGTTTGTAAGTGATGAAAGGAAAAGTGAAACATTGTAGGCAGCAGCAGCCCTCAGTTTTCAGTGGAGAGGTTGTTCTTTCATAACCTAAAAAAATAACAAGACTGGGTTGTCTGGTTGACATGCTTATCTGGCTGGAAAGTCAGGCAGGCAACGTCTGTGGGAACATAGTACCAGTCCCTAGAGGATTCAATTAGGCATTCTGGGCATCACTGATCATGGGCTTGGAAATATGAAACGTGGGCAAATGTGCCACCTTTCAATTCTCAGAAACACGCTCCTGAGACAGAAGTAGGGAGCAGAATTGAAGACAGGTTTAGGAGAAGGAAAATCCAAGGACAGAAGAAACTCCTCTGCCCTAGTTTTGGAGTACAGGCTGAAGCCTCCCTCTTTGATGTGGATTTCACCCTAAAGCTTTAGAAGATGGAGTGTCCTGTGGTGGGGATTGGAAGAGAGGAAGAGATCCAGGCTAACAATATCAGAGAAAGGAGGGCCTCACCTTTAGCAAGACACTAACCCTCCCAGCTCTTCCTGGGACTAGTGCAGAAGAGTGGGGACTCATGCTATCCTCAATGTAGAGATGTTAATCCCCCATCTTTGGTGAAAATTCTGTTTCTGTTTGCATGGTTCAGATACTAGCAGGACTGACAAGAGACACATTTACCCTATAGGTAAAGAAACTGAACTTTTAGGACCATCCCTTGCACAGACCTCTTCTAAAGCACTGGAGGTGCACTAGAGCCCCAGCAATGTGATAATGTGGTCATGGCTTTTTGTAAAATATTTTGAACAAAATATTTAAACTGCAATTGGTTAAGATTGAGGTCCCTTTTCTTTCTGACTTCCCCTCCATTACACTTCTTCTTTTGTCAGGTGGCAGTGGAAATGCCATGGATATTTGGGGATTGGCTAGGGAAGTTAATTTGAGGATACATTTAGTTTGGGGTTAGTAGTTTATTAGTAAGTAGTTTAATATTAAGCATAGTGTTATAGGCTGAATGGTGTTGTTCCCCCCCCCCCATTCATATAGTAAAGTCCTAATTCCTAGTACTTTAGAATGTAAGTGTATTTGGAAATAAGGTCTATAAAGAGGTAATTAAGTTAAAACGAAGTCTTCAGGGTGAGTCCTAACCCAATATTACTGGTGTCTTTACAATAGGAAATTTGGACACAGACATGAACATAGGAAAGACCATGAGAAGCTAGGGAGAAGATGTCTGTCTATAAGCCAAGGAGGGGAACCTCAGAATCAAGTCAACTCTGCCAATGCCTTGACCTCAGACTTCTATCCTCTACACTGTGGGAGAATTTCTGTTGTTTAAGCTACCCAGTCTGTTGTATTTTGTATGGCAACTCCAGCAGACTAATACATATAACTTCTAGGTATAATCCTAATGTCAACAATTCAGAGTATATGGCATTAATCATTACAAATTTGAAGTGCTCTGAAATTTTACACCACAAATATCAAATTTGAGTGTTTTCTTCAAGTTTGACAAAAATCCTAAAAATTATGACATTACCACTTATAAAGTGCGAAGGTGAACATTTTCTAAATCACTAAGAATTTTTAAAAAGTGATCATGTAGAAGACTGAATTACCTTTCTATACTCCTTATAGAAAACATTATATATATAAGCATATGAAAAAATATTAAAGAGTATGCAGCCAAAAACAAAATTGTAAAAAAATATGTTAAGTAGACACTTAAAAAATTGTGTTATTTTTCTTGATTTTATGTTATATTTGTCAGCTCTTTAAAAATTATAATTTAGGGGCACCTGGGTGGCTCAGTCGGTTAAGCGTCCGACTTCAGCTCAGGTCATGATCTCACAGTTTGTGAGTCTGAGCCCTGCGTCAGGCTCTGGAGCCTGCTTCAGATTCCGTGTCTCCCTTTCTCTCTGCCCCTCCCCTGCTCACAGTCTGTCTGTCTCTCTCTCTCTCTCTCTCTCAAAAAATAAACAGTAAAAAAATTTAAAGAAATAAAAATTATAATTTATATTTTCTCATTCTAAAGCACTTTCATTGTTGGGCCTAATGCATTTATTTTTCTTTTCAAAAGGCTCTGAAAGTTGTATGTTTCAAGCACCCAAAAACTTCGATCTACCTCTGGGACTACCCAAATGGATATGGTGAGTTTCTGCCTCATTTAGGGGAACCATCCTCCACTGTTCTGTGCCTTGTCTCCTGAGAAATACAAAAGCTGAGTGCTAACCAATCAGAACTGCAAGTCTTGAGGAACTGGGATATCAAAAGCTGCAGTGAAGGAGTTTGTGAAAGGATTTCAGAAAGACCTACCACTAAACTAAGATGTGAGACGTCTGGAAAGACATTAGGGCCACAGAGGGACCTTAGGCAATAAGCCATGGAGAAAACTCCTGCAACGCCCCCACTTACCTCTCCTTGGGTGTCTGCTCCTCATGCTGACTCTACCCTTTAGCCTATCTGGTTTCACAATATAAGTATGGGTGCTCTGCAGTGACATCACAACTTGGCCATTATGATGTAATGCAGAGGCCTCTGATTCTTCTCAGGCTAGGGCTTCCCTATTAGAAATGTCGTCTCGTTACTTTGTGGGTAATTGAATTTTCTCATCGTTCAGATGATATGGAAATCAATTTTATGTTAGAACTTAATTTTTTCAAGGATACCTCACTTTAATCTATTGTTCCATTCTGGATTAGACAGAGGTCCTTGCTTTCCCTCTCCATCATATTTCTCATCTTTTGCCTTAGGGTTGCCCTTGATAGAGAAAAGGGCTTTCCTCTTCCCTCCGGTGCTTAAGGAGAAATGTAACTTAGATTGCCTCCTTAAGGAAGAATAGCCACCCCACCCCACCCAAGGGGAAACTTAGGGCTTCTACCCAAGCAGTACCTTTTAACTGCACCAGGAATTGGCACTGGGTGCCAGGGAACTAAAGCTGGACCCTCGTAATTTTCCCACCACTACCCAAAATGGTGGCAGGATTATACCGGGGTGTGTCATACCAGGGCTGTCCAACTCCTCCATATCTTCTGCCCATCCAACTTTTGCATAGCAATAGGACACCAGCAAGTAGAGAAATGAGATGACCAAGAAATGGGGGTTGGGAGAGAGGAATCTTGCCTCTGGGTTTCTTGCCACCCTCCACCCCAAACAAACAATTTCTCAATATTATATGATATACTTTCATATTTTGACTTTATTTCACATATGAGGTCCTTTATCCAGAAGGAAGGGTAGTTGCATGTGGAAGCTGAAGTGAGGCACAGAACTAGTGGGTTTGGGGCCCAGTGAACATGGCTACACTGTGAACAGTATGAGGATGCTCTGGGAGGGCCTGATGAGAACAGTGGTTTGGGGGAATTCACAAAGCAAACTTTAATTTCCTCTCCAGGTTAGTCAATGGGTGGATTATACCATGTTTTTAGCAACTTCACTGTTCCTCAGCAATATCACCCAAAGAAGTGCCAAGGCTGGGAAAACAAAGAAAACTACAAGTGCCTTTTGTTTCTTTTCATGCCTGGATGGGGAAGGGAATGGAAACTAGCAGGAGAAAATGAAACATTTCTGATATTATCCCTTGCCATGAAAAATCACAGATCTGACTATGTAGAGGCCTGTTTTATAGCCCAGGAATGGCATGTGTGCAGAAGGGTTGAAGGTAAGACCCATCTTGAGCTGCACTAACAAATTCTCTGACCCTGCTGAAGTCACTTCTCATCTCTGGACCTGTGTCCTCATCTGTAGTGGAGCATGGACCCAGTAATCTCTAAACACAAGTTTTTCCTGGTCTCTGATTCTATGACCTTTGGATTGCAAGGATCCAGAGAAACTCCAGAGAAACACAGGTGTTAGAAGCAAGAAAATGTGGGAGTTAGATTGGAGAGTTCAGAAGTTATGGCTTATTGTGACAATAAATGATGCACTACATTCATAAAGAGAAACAAAAGAACAAGGAAGGCTATCAGACAGCTAAGTGTAGGAAGATATCTAAGATCTGGATAGGAGAAACAGGCAAAGTGGCCCAGCTGTGTTGCTTCAAGGACCCAAGCCCCTGACCAGCGTAATGTTTTTTCTTATATAACACTTCCTCATCTATGGCTGACATGTTATACACCAAATTGCTCCTGTTCATATAGTCATCAGCCTTTAGGGGAAAGTCCCTATCCCAATGCCTAACACATACCTTCCTAAAGATTCCACCAAACTCCTAGTGTTTCCCATATCAGATTAGACTGTCAGTTTACTCCCAGGCCCTGGGGCAGCTCTATATGGGAAAACTAGAAGATTCATGTGTTGGCTCCATAAAGCTGAGAATGGGGGGTGGGTGAGCCATGGTACTTCTTACTGAGAAAGCTCAGGGAAAAATGGATTATTCTTCATTCCATCTCCAACCAGTTTACATTTATCTACTCAGTAATACCAGGGCTTGCAGAGAGGGTCCAAGCACAGACCATTCAGCAACTGTCCTAGTCAGGGATACTTTCTAGTGGAAACTTTAGGGATTGGTCAGTTCAAAACTATTCGGGGGAGTGGAAAGGGGCATGACACACCAACACGTGTAGAGAGTTGGTTAGGACCAGGAGAGAATCCCAATGTATGGAAAAGCTGGAGTTCAGGTGGGCTCCCAAGTTCTCTAGCAGGCAGGCAGGATGGTCCCTTGCTGATTCTGCAGAGCTGGGACACTGGTACAGGAGACAGCAGCAAGCTCCTGGATGGAACTTGGGACCCCTCAGTGCTTTGCCTTCTCTATGCCAGTTCAGGAGACTGGGAGGATAGGAAGGCAGAGCAGTTAGAAACTGTGGTCTTTTCCTAATAAGAGACTATATATGGCAAAGTTGTCAGTTTTGTTTTTAAAGGAAGAACTATAATTAAATGGTTATGCACAGAACCTCTGGAGATATCCTGAGTTCACAATCCCAGCTATGCCATTTACTAGCTATGTGATCTTGAACAAATTACTGAGCTTTTGTGAGCTGTTTCCTAAGCTCTAAAATAGGGATATTACTCAACTGATAGGGTTGTTTTGAGGGTTGTATTGCATGCAAGACACCAGATTTTAGCAGATAAGTAAATGTGAGCTATTATGATTGTTAATACAACATAATAATAATGCATACACATTAGGCAAGAGATTATTATACACTGAGCCTCAACCCAGTCTCCCTCTCCATCAACCTCCCTTGGGCTCTTCACTGATGACTAAAAAGCACATTGCTTTGTGGCTTCTAGCAGTTTCTTTCTTCACTCTGCTGGTACTTTGACCTGAAGGTGTTCCACAAGATGCATGAAATTCTTTGTTTTCTTCATTAGATAAGGATGATGTTTAAGCCAGCATTTCCTTGAGAAGTGACTTGGAGTTCCTCTCTTTCGGCCATCTTCCTTCAAAGGACTAAGGCTTTGGACAGGAGGGGCAGGGTAACTAGCCCCCATACTGTGTTCTAAATGCATGTATGGGCTTTTGTGCATGCACTCTCTTAGTAATAAGGAGGAGGGGGATTCAGAAATTTTTGAGAAATTAGTTAACAGATAGAAAAGGGTGCAGGGAGCTGGTTACCTGGGAACAGTTGTTCATGTGCATCAGGAACTGCTTCTTTTCCCTCTTCTCCTTTCTAGAAGACTGTCAAGAAGGAGCCTGAGGGAGGAAGGTGGATCAACCATGGTCTTGGAGAAAAGGAAGTGGGTTCTCCACCCCTTCTGGAGGGAGAAGGAACAGCAGAGATCAACAAGAATGAAGAGGGAGACAAATGGAAAAGAGAAAACGAAGGTAAATACCCTATATACTAAAAGAGTGAAAGTGATGAGAGAGAGAAACAAACAAACAAAAAGGCAAAGAGCTTAGGAATAGGGTAACAGGAAAGGAAAAACTACCAGTAGAGGTTAACCAGGAGGGGAGACCTAAGGCATGACTGTGAATGGGTAGAAGAGTCCTGCTTTCCCATTTTACTTGCTCAGGGTATAGAACACACTGCCATCTTCTGGTGCCACTTAATTATTCAGTAGCTTTGTTTTTTTATTTGAAATGTTCTCCATTTCTTATATCCATAATTCTTTATCCTCAAGAGAGCCTCAACATTGTTTCCTTTCATCTCTGGGGCTCCCAAACATCATTTTCCCCAACAGAGATGCACCTACTCAAAGCTGTCTCAGAGCACCTAGACTGGGAGTCTGTGGGGGCAAGAGCAAAAGGCAAGGGGCAGAGAATGAGCTGCAGTTTGAAAAAGGTGTTGGAATACCATAAGGCTGCAAGCTGGTTATGGGATGCTTATTGACCTCTGGAGTATCTGTGTCAAAACTGGAGGACCCATCCTTGGCCTCAATCCAATGCTGGGATGCTTTGTGTTCTGACCTGTGGTACTCCAACTGTAGGTTGGAGAATGTGGCTTCTCATCCACACTCTGCCACTCAGTAGATCATAAAATGTCAGAGCAAGAATCGGCTGTATGAGATCACTTAATCAAAATCTAATTTCCCAAGTTGGAGACTGGGGCCCAGAGAGGTGAAGTAACATTGCCCAAAGTAATACAGCTAGTCAGTGACTCTTTCCTTCTGAGGCAGAATTAGAGTGATTCTTGTGACTCACTGTTCCTTGACAAATGCATTCCATAAAGTGCTTAGGGGTCATTAAAAGGCACCCCAGAAAGGTAAGGCTGGCATTTTTCTGGAAGCCCCTGAGTGTACCAACTCCTCAGGCAGGACATTATTTGGCTACAAGGACAGGCCTGGAGTTGGTTTTGCCTTCATTTTAATCCCCAGGACTGCCTGGGGGCGGCGGGGGTCTGCCACCACTCCCCAGCCAGTCAGGGAAGAATGAAGCCTGGGATCTTCAGGAATAACAGGGGACTTATCCTGGGACTTAAGCAAGGCAATTATGGCTGAGTTAAAGCTTAGGATGGGCAGGGCTAGGGACCTGAGGTGGCAAAGGCGGGTAAGAGAGGGAATGAGCTGGCACTCCAAATGACTTCATAGGGTGGGCTCATATTTCAAACATAATACCTCCTCAATCCCAAAGAGATAACCTTAACTTCCCAGGCCTGACGAACCCACTTACTTTCTCCCAGTGCCAGCTCACGGAATAGGACATCATCATCAACCCCCATCTTGGCTTTTTTTTTTCCTAATCCCCCCAGAGCCTTTTCTGGTTTTCTTTCCTATATGCGTTGGGTTACTATCACTCACATCCAACTAATGTTTTCCACCACCTCCCGACCTTCCTCGATTCCGCCCACTCCCACACCCCTTTGAATTCTCCCGTCCTCCTCGCCCTCCCCCACTTGATTCTCTTGGACAGCTCCCAGCCAATTTCGGTTTCTTTCTTTCTTCCCAGCCAAATCTTCGTGCTCCCCCGGCCCCTGGGTGCCTTTGCGTTTTGCGCCGTCGGCCGCAGGAGTCTCAGATAAAGTGGATCCAGCCCTGGGGCTCGGGGGCTCCGCCACTCCCGGGGTGCTCGGGCCCCCGTAGAGCATAGTCACGGCCGCCGTTGTTGTCCCAGAACTCGTGGCCGGTCACGCGGTAGCGCAAGGCGAAAAGCAGGGCGCCCCCAATGGGTGGCGCCGGAAGGCGGAAGGCGAAGCGATCCGCGCGCGGCGGGGGCGGGGCCGGACCGGCGTAGGAGGCGGGGGCCTCGCGTTGGCTCCGCCAGCCGTCGGCGCTCCAGCGCACACTCACGCGCTTCTCGTAGGCAAGGTCCAGCACACGCGCGCTCCCGGCCACGCCCAGCGGGCCCGCCTCGGCGCGTTCCAGGCAGATGCGCTGGGCCTGCAAGCGGGCGGCGAAGCCGGGCTCGCTGGCCGGCTCTAGGGCGGCGCGCGCCTCCTGAGGGGGTGGGGAGGAGAGGAGAGACAGGGGGCGGGGTCAGGGTGAGGCACTGGACCAATCCGAAGCGGACCCCGGCGTCCAGCAGTCGGAGTGGAGCCCAGCTGGGAGAGTGGCACCAAAAGGGATGAGCGAGAACAAGCCTAGGGTTGGGGATGGAGATGGGTGTTCCTTGATAAATCGGCCGCCTGCTGCGGCCGGGTAGGGGAGGTGCCGGGGAAGGGGCGTGCCTGCCGCCCGCCTACCTGGAGGCCGCGGGCGCGAGGCTGGCACGGCGCGAAGTGGCGGAGGGCGTCTCTCTGCAGCTGAACTTGCACGTGGCGGGGCACCCGGGGCAACTCTCCGGGGCGGAAGCGGCGCACCGCGGCCAGCTCCAGCCCAAGCGCGTCGGCGAAACGCACTCTCTTGCGGGTGTCGGGGCTGCGGCTGCGAGGCACCCGAACTCCGCCGCCTCCGGCTGGCGCAGAGAGGGCCCGGCGACCCCGACTGGGAGCGTGAGCTCGGGACCGGGCCCCGAGGCGCGTCCCGCCCTCGCCTGGCTCCACCTCTGGCTCCTCCTCGAGGCTGGGCCGCTGGCTGCGGTAGTAGGCACGCTCCGTCAGCGCGGCTATGAAGCTCAGGTTGCGCGGGATGTCGGTGCGGGGGGGCCGCTCTCGAGACATGGCACCCCCCCGCCCTGGCGGAGCCCGCCCGCAGCGCCGCGGCGCTGCCCTGCCTTCTCTCGCCCGACCGCCCGGCGTCCTCGCTGGAGCTGCCCCTCGCGGTTGCGTACTCTCCTTGCTGTCACCTCCAGGATCCCCCACCTCCTGTAGCTCTGCCTCCCTTCCGTGACTACCTTTCCTCCCGCTCTGGCCGTCAGCTCCCAGGGTTTTAGACCATCATCTCGCCTCCTGCGAACTGTCTGCTCTGAGCGTGCGCTCAGCGGCGCTCACCCTCTGGTCCCGCGGCCCTCTCGGTCCCGGCCCCCGCCCACAGTCCTCTGACAGGTGGCTCCCCATCTGTCTTCGCTGCTTTACCAGGGGGCGGGGATCTACCCTTTCGGTCCTGAGTGAGACCACTCAGGTTTTTTGTTTTTAAACGGCCTCAACCTCTCCGGCACAGGAAGAGTTAATGCTGGGAGACCAGAGTAACCTTTCCTTTTCTTGCAGAGGATGGTTCAAAATACCCAGTGTGTGACTTTCTCTTCAGGGCTCACCGTTTTCTTTTCTAAATCCTAGGCTCCAGGTTTGGGAGCGAGGGTGACAGTGGGTGCACAGAAGGGAGGATCATGAAAACTAGGTAATCTCTCAAATAGTAGCTGAGATGTGACCCTCAAAAGGGTGGGGTGGTCAATTGGAAAAGTGTTCTGAACTGAGTTGTGGGAAAACGCTCTGGTCTCACCTCTGATGATATTTTGCTGTTTTACCTTGAGCAAGGCATAACTTCTCTGGACCTCAGTTTTCTCATCTGTGAAAAAGTAGATTAGAGTTCTGATCTCTAACCCCACTGCAAGGCCTTTGAGGGCAGAGGGTGTGTCTGATTCCTGGTCAGTTACAGCACATACTAGGCTCTCAAATTATTGAATGAATGGACACACAACTCTTTTGGAGCTACAACTGTGGGGTTCTAGTTCCAGTGGGAGCTCCCAACAGGGGCACAGAGCTGGCTTTTTTTCTCCTTCGTTTTGTTCTACATTAGTGAAAAAAGATGTGAAGTATCTTGTATAGTTTTTTTTTCCCTAAATTCCCTGATTTTTTTTTTTTTAGGTTTATGTAGTTATTTTGAGAGAGAGAGAGTGCAAGCAGGGGAGGGGCAGAGAGAAAATCCCAAATATTCATCGAATCCCCTAAATTCCCTACTGATTTTGTATAACACTTACAATGTACTAGGTACAGTTTTAAGAGTTTTACAAATATTAACCCATATAAACAGCCATCAAAATAGCAGGGAGTATTATTATGCCTACTTGACAGATGAGAAAATTGAGGGAGAGAGGAGATAGGACTCTTGTCCTGGGTCATGTACATAATAATTGAGGAGCTGGGATTAGAACATCAGCAGTCCAGCTCTAGAGCCCACTCTCGTACCCACTTGGTTCTATAAGATTAAAGCATTTAGTAGTAGTAGTTAACATCTTCAGAGTACTGTAATGAGGAATCTTAGAGTAGAAATGGAATTTCTTTTCTTTTTTTTAATGTTTATTTATTTTTGAGAGAGAGAGAGAGACATCAAGTGGGGAAGGGCAGAGAGAGAGAGAGAGAGAGAGAGGGAGACAGTATCTGAAGCAGGCTCCAGAAACCTTGAGAGCCTGACCTGAGCCAAAGCCGGATGCTTAACTGAGTGAGCCACCCAGGTGCCTTAGAAATGGAATTTCTAAATTTAAAGCAGCAGGATAGTTTAACTGTAAAATCCCAAGTGACTGAGTTGGAAATAAACAGTGAGACACATACTATCTTATACAATTCATTCCTGTTCGCATTTTAGCTCCACTATTAACCTTAGCAAAGCCAGGAGGGCTATTGAATTTTATTTTCCTATTTTATACATACATACATATATATATATATATATATATACACACACACACATACACATATATATGTATATATATGTGTATATATACATATATATGTATACACTTTTCCTATTTTATTTTTTTTATTTTTTTTATTTTTTTTTCAACATTTATTTATTTTTGGGACAGAGAGAGACAGAGCATGAACGGGGGAGGGGCAGAGAGAGAGGGAGACACAGAATCGGAAACAGGCTCCAGGCTCCGAGCCATCAGCCCAGAGCCCGACGCGGGGCTCGAACTCCCGGACCGCGAGATCGTGACCTGGCTGAAGTCGGACGCTTAACCGACTGCGCCACCCAGGCGCCCCAGTTTTCCTATTTTAGACATTATACTAATTTGTGTTAGTCAATCATTTTAATTATATTTTATTTTTTAATTTTTTATTTGTTTAAATAGAGATCTAGAGAGCAAATGGGGGAGAGGCAGAGGGAGAGGGAGACAGAATACCAAGCAGGCTCTGCTGTTGTGAGCGCGGAGCCTGATGTGGGCTCAAACTCATGAGATCATGACCTGAACCAAAATCCAGAGTTGGCCACTTAACTGACTGAGCCACCTATACTCCCCTACAGTCAAGCATTTTGTAAAACTTTCTTCCACATAATTATGTAAGGAGCAATAAATTAAATGTTGTAAAATAAAAACTGTCTTCCTTGCTCTTGTAAAATGTATCATTGAAGGAATAGATAAGGTTCAAAGTGGGCCTATATGGTCTGAGGTTTTCTATTAAAACACTTTGCTTTGTCTATAGTTTGAATTGCCATTCCCTGGGTACATAATATTGGTCTGGGAAGATTCTTGAGGTACACAGCTTTGGACTAGGTATAATTTGTGTTGGTCCAGCTGCTATGTTCTGGCTGCTCAGACCAACACTGAACCTCTATTCCAAATCAATCTTTGTTTCTTTCTTTTTTCTTGTTTTCCTCTTTACAGTTCAGTCTTTGTTTCTTAAATAGCCACTATGGTTATCTTTAAGCATCAGTGTTGGCCTACTCAATAACTGGCCAGAGGCATTGAATGATTTGTTCAGTAAACATTTACTGAGGGCTTATTAGGCCAGAAGGACATAAAAGTGAATAAAATTCTGTTCCTGCTCTCACAGAGCTTATAAATAAATGGGCAGGCATATAGAAATATATTTGGATCCTGAGACTTAAAAATGTTTTTATTTCAAGTAAGTGTCTTAGAAGAAATTAGTATTGCACAGGAAGGACTGGACTAGGTTATTCTCTAAAGAAGAAGGCAGCCTTGCTGGTGGCAGCTGGAATGATCAGCCTAAGAGCAAAGAAGAAAGGATGGTTGAAAGGATACAGTCATAAAGGTGTGGAATCTGCTGTACATTCAGAATGGAAGGGATAACTGAGTTTAGCCTTGTAAATGGTGTTAAAACAACATTGATTACCTGAAGCAGAAGAGATGACATTATAGCAATATAGGTAAGGTTAAGACAAACTTGAAAGTGAGACAAAATTGAGGGGCACCTAGGTGGCTCAATTGATTAAGTGTCTGACTTCAGCTCAGGTCATAATCTCGTGGTTTGTGGGTTCGAGCCTTGTGTCCAACTCTATTCTGACAGCTGGATCCTGGAGCCTGCTTGGGATTCCGTGTTTCCCTTTGTCTCTGCCCCTCTCCTGCTCGTGCTCTCTCTCTCTCTCTCTCTCTCTCACACACACACACACACACACACACACACACACAAATAAATAAACATTAAAGTCAGACAAAATTGAGTACAATTTCTAAGTATATGGCTTTGGGTAAATTAACCTCTCCAAGCCTCACTTTCTTCACCCACAGAATGGGGATAAAACAGCACAGGGATTGGCGTAAGGATAAAATATCATGCACAAAAAGAAAGTACCTAATTAGCTATTAGCTATATTAGCACCTAATAAGTCCTCAAAATGTATTAGTTGTTATGATCATTGTTACAGATATGACCTTTCTTCTCCAGTGACTGTAGGGGCAGGTAGGAATATCAAGACTTGAACTGGAGGTAGAAGCAAAGGGAACCAGCAGGAAAGGAGAACTGGGTTGCCTCTTTCTAGCCTCTGGCTAAAGATCCCTCTAAATGGAGCTTAAGGAAATGCCAGCTGCAAGAGCCAGAGGGGCCCAGGGGCCCAGTCAGAATGCTCAAGGGCCCTCCTGAGGATCACCTGTGGTCAGACTGCTTCATATCCTGTGAACTGTTTTGTATAAATATATTGCCATGTATAAATAATAGGTCTGTCTATCTATCTATCTATCTATCTATCTATCTATCTATCTATCTATCTGAAAGAGTAAACAGCAACCTTGACATTGGTAACCTCCAGGAAGGGAGGTGGATTTGTGCAAAGGGTAGAAGGAGGGAGATTGAGGACTCGTATTTTTTTCCCCTTATACCTTTATATTGTTTGAACTTGTCATAATGAGAATAAGTTCACGTGTTGAGTAAAGAGAAGTAAAAAGAAAACCAATCTGATTACAAAAAAAAGAAAAGAAAAGAAAAAAGGTGAAGAAAAGTTACCTGCAGAAACTACTTGCGATCCAAGTCTTGATGCCTGGTTAAAGCCCCAGCCTCTGAAGCGACTACTGGGTTAAAGTTCCTGGAGAAAAGAGGAAGTGAAGTGTCCGGTGTCTATGTCATGTCTGCCAGTACCACAGGGCGAGGCACCTGGCAGGCAGCTCCCAGTGGAATGAACTGCTCCTCTAATTCAGGCATCCACTCTAAGGCTGGAAAAATTCAACAAGTGTGTGTAACATCAGAGACCTTCTGGAAATGCTGAATTTGCTCTGAGGTTTCCTGAGGCCTAGCCGGCTTCTCTGGGCAGTCTTCAGTCTCAGGAGCCCAACCTGGCCCTCTGTCTCCTCTCCACCCTGCTCCTCTTGGCCTCCAGCAGCCCTCTCTCTTCCGGAGTTGTGGCCTTCCCAAGCTTGCTTCCCAGCTCCGCCCCTCTCTCTGGACGCATCTCTGGGCCCCATCATCACCCGGCGCCGGGCCCTCCCTCCCACCCCCCTTTCTCCTCCCTCCTTCCTTCCCTCCCTTCCTCCGTCTCTCCCTCCCTCCCAGCTCCTGCACCAGGAAACAGCCCGGATCCTGGCAGCGGCCTGACCCGTGAGATCCCTAACCTGGCAGGCAGGAGGGGTTGGAGACTTGCTGAGGGTGGGGGTAAAGGAGGAGCTGGGCTGTTGGACTGCACTGGGGGGAGCCGGGAGTAGATACGGTGTCGGCAGGAAGCCCTTGGCCCTGGGTTTCCTGGGAGGACAGTCATTAAACATGGATTCGGCCACACAGCTGGTAGAACGTTGGGGGCAGGGGCCGGTCCCGGGAGCTGCACCCCCAGTCTTCTCTGCCCAGACTGTGATCCATGGCCTTCCCCGCCTAGCTCTGCTCTCCCCCTCCCCTTCCCAGGGCTCCACGCTGGCCAGGAGGATGAAAGGCCCCAGCTGGGGGCTCCTTGCCACCAGCGCTGGGTCCTAAAAGCTGCCATCCAGGCTGGGTGAGTGTCCCCTTCCTTCTCTGTCCCTGGCAGCCCTTTGCTTCTCCCACCTTTTCCTTCAGCTCCTGTCTCCTCCCCCATCTTGTGCCTCTGCCAGCATCTTCACATCTTCCCTCTGGGGAGGTACTAAGACCCTAAGCTAAAATGGTGTGTATTGTGGAAAGGGGGTTTGTAGGGGGGTTATAGAGTTGGTGTTTTTTTATTATGGAAAGAATCTAAAGTATTTTAAAAATAAAATTTACTTGTTTTACATTTAATTTAACACATTACAAATTAATGGTCAGCCCCTCATGCTCTGGCCTCTCACCTTGACTTAATTCCCACATTCTTGCCCCTCCCTGCTCAGTGGTCTCTGAGCATTTCCTCCCACCTCTCACTGGGTTGGCCAAGCCTGAAGTGCCCCTTCTGGCTCTCTGACCATATATTCATGCCAGTCTTTCATCCTTGACTCTTACAGCTGCCCGGATGGCGACCCCAGCCTCAGCCCCAGACACACGGGCTCTAGTGGCAGACTTTGTAGGCTATAAGCTGAGGCAGAAGGGTTATGTTTGTGGAGCAGGCCCTGGGGAGGGCCCAGCAGCTGACCCACTGCACCAAGCCATGCGTGCAGCTGGAGATGAGTTTGAGACCCGCTTCCGGCGCACCTTCTCTGATTTGGCAGCCCAGTTGCATGTGACCCCTGGGTCAGCCCAGCAACGCTTCACCCAGGTCTCTGATGAACTCTTCCAAGGGGGCCCCAACTGGGGCCGCCTTGTGGCCTTCTTTGTCTTTGGAGCCGCACTGTGTGCTGAGAGTGTCAACAAGGAGATGGAGCCACTTGTGGGACAAGTGCAAGAGTGGATGGTGGCCTACCTGGAGACACGGCTGGCCGACTGGATTCACAGCAGTGGGGGCTGGGTAAGAAGCTTCTCAATTGCTGCTCTGCACACCCCTCTGCAAAGATGGTCTCCAGAGGGAAGACAGGGGTTCTGGCTGGAGGCTGGGGTCTGAGTCTCCCTATTTGGGTGGAATCAGATGCTCTCACCATGGGTGTCACGCACTCCAGGGCTGCCATGCAGTCATCACTGGATGGGCTCATGGTCCAAAGCAGAGGACAGAATACACAGTGCCTGCAGGGAAATGGCATCCAGCCATCAGGAGCTTTTTACACCAGACTATGTGGCATGGGTGGGGGGGTGTCAGAGGGTCAGTAAAGCCTTGGCAAAGGATGCCAGTTCCGAGCAAAATGTTTGGCCAGGGAAAGGCTGGGATTCACTTGAGGCAGAAAGGGCAAATGAGCCAGGCGCTCATGGGGGATGATCGGGGCTTGCAGCCAGTAGAGCTTTGGCTGGAGAGGAGCTGGGTATGGGGTAGTGCTTGTAGTGGATGGAACTGGAACTCTTCCTCTCCTCTTTCCTCCACTCTTTCCTCTCCTGATATCCCTTTCTCCTTTCTCTCCTACTTCCCTTCTCTCCCACAGGCGGAGTTCACAGCTCTATACGGGGACGGGGCCCTGGAGGAGGCGCGGCGTCTGCGGGAGGGGAACTGGGCCTCAGTGAGGACAGTGCTGACAGGGGCCGTGGCACTGGGGGCCCTGGTAACTGTAGGGGCCTTTTTTGCTAGCAAGTGAGAAAGTCCAGGGCCAGGTGGGGCTAGGTGTAGTTGGGGGACAAGAGAGCAGGAACAGAACAAGAGAAATGCCCTTGGAAGAAGTGGGTGAATGGATGGGCATGGAATGGGGATGGGAAGGGGCAGGGTACTGTGGGAAGGAGCTGTGTGTGCCAGGCAGGCAGTCGGAAGGATGAGCTGGAGACATTAGGGGATGTGTTTGGAAAGCGAGCAGGCCAGGAGATGGAGGCATTCCAGGGTTGGGAGGAGGTGGGAGAGATCATGCCTATACGTATAGGCACACAAAACTATAACTAGAGCTTACTTTGTAGCCCTAAAGAAGGAGGATTTGCATAAGGGGTTGTGTCTCCATTGGATGAGTGAGATTTGGGGAAAAACACCGAAGGCACATCCCTTTGGAATGGAAGCTTGGAGTTCTCAGGTGATAGGGAGAGGTGGCTGTGATGTTGGGCTGCTTGGACATGTGTATGCATGTGCACGCGTGCTTGTGTGCATGCTAGGCTGCTTGTCTAACATGGTGGCGGCCGTATTCACAGAGAAAACATTCCCTGTTGAAGTGGCAAGAACAAGGGGCAGCTCTCTGCCCCTCCTCCCAACTCCCTTCTCCCCCTCTCCTTGTCCTGATGCCTCAAGGCTATGGGAAAAACACTGTATCCAGAAGAGGGCTTTGGGCACTTTTCCACAGAAAGTCATTTGCAGGGCTTTGGAGATAAGTTCTGTAGCTGGCCCTGTTGCTTCACCGTCCCTATTCCTTGTGCATCATGCACTTGCTGCTGCCTCCTGGGCTCTGACAGAAAACAGGGCCGTGGAGCCTGCAGTGGGGGTGGGTGGGGAGCTGGACCTACCTGCCGCCCTCCTCTCCCACTGGGGCACACTGGTGCCTAAAGTGTTCCCTGTCTCTGGGACTTTCTGCACCCAAACTCAAACTCTAAATTGGGACTCTAATTTTCCTTGTGAGTGTGTGGAGGTAAATGCTGATCTAGAGTACAGTCTGGGTCTTGCACTGTGTCTCAGTGAGACTGCTGATGCCTTGAGAGGAACATTCCAGCTCTGAACCCCATAGGTGTGAGGGTGACCTATACTCCGTGACTGGCCTATTCCGTGTAGTGGGCTTTGGTGCTGCTTTATCAAGGGCCAGATATATGGGTTCTAGAGTACCTACCATGACCTAGAAGCATTTATATTTTCTTTGAAGCCACGCTGTTTGCATGGGTGTTACTTGTCTGTACCTCTGAGTCTGAGGACGTTAACTTTAGAGCTCACAGTCCTCTAGAACAGATTCCACTTATAGCTTTTTCTTTTGAGAAAGAAATGATTTCACTCCAGATGCATGCCCTGAGCCAGACCTCACTGCTGCACTTCCCAAGGTGCTAAAATTGCTGCTCTCCAATGCTGACTTCAGACACAGTGCTCTAGAACCCTGCCCTTGATCCTGAGCACTGATCAGCTTAGCTAGACCATGGTTGACTCTTCTTGGGATTTTCATTTGGTCCCAAAATGTGGCAACATAGTTGTACTCACAAGAATGTGGGACCAAAATTGGCCTCAGGTGTTTAGCCCAGACTTTTGCTTTTGAGAGAGGGCTGCACTTTTTAATGGTATTTATAGGGGAGGTGGAAGACTGCATGTGCCACTTGGTCCATCGTGAGTATGCTGATACCAGAAACTCAGAGCTGGTCTGTGGCAGGCAGTTGGGGTGGGGTGGGGGGTCTCTGACTTGCTCAGGACAAACTAGACCAGTGGTTTTCAGGCTGCTTGGCAGAGCCCTGAGGTTTCCTAGGGGTTGCCTCAGGAGGCCTTGGGGAGGTGAAGGGAGGGGGTGCTGAGCAGGCTGGGCTACTTGTCCTTAAACAGAATAGCTCCCCTTGTAGCTGTCTTACATATCGGGGTTCAGGGTAAGATTTTATTTGCATTAAGGGGTTTGCTGCTGAAAAAAAAAAGTTGGAAAACCACTGACTAGACCATCAGCTCCAAATTGGAGCCTGTGCTCCCCCAGGTTTGGGGCAGACTCCACCCTCCCCTCTACCACAAGACCACCTATCCCTGTTAACTCTCCTGGGGACCTTTAGCAAACAGGAGCAGCAGGGACCATGGTCAGGTAACTGAAATGCCCTGCTCTGAGGCCTTCACACCTTGGTAGAAGGAGAAGTTGTTTTCTGAAAGGGTAAAGGGCTTGGATTCCCAGAAGCATAGCTTGAATGGGACCGTAGTGGGCAGTTTTGATCTGTCCTGTCCTTGAGGGGCAATGGAAACCCCAGAGACTCTTCTATCAGGGAAAACTAGAGACTCTTCTAGAGCCATATAGTTCCTTGGGATTAGCTCTTGGCCAGGAAGGCTGAGTATGGCTCCCAATTTTTAAATCTATTTCATTTTTTAAAAAATAAGGAAAATAAATCTAATTGCCATTTTTCAGAGATTAAATAGGTAGAGAGGGTGTTTCTTGCTCTCCAGAGCCCAAAGGGACATATAGGGATTTTGCTTAGGCCAAGGAAGGAGCAGAAGTAGGGCAACTAGGTCCTGCGATTATTAATCCTACTCCCCACTTATTCTAGGGTATATACTATTTTACTTTTTTAAATCATAAAATGGCGAGAGAACAGATTTGGTTAGTTTAGAAGAAAAGAAAAAGCTCTATAAATATAAATATATATTCCTGTATTTTTATTTAATAATTTATAAATATCAAGTTCATTTGACTTTTATTTTTGTGTAATATGTAATGGTCGTATTAAAAAAAAATAAAGCCCAGAAGTTTAATGAGAAGGACTGAGCAGGGTTTGTGACTTCTACACTCTATAGCCTGGTGTCAGGACATTTCTTGATCTAATCATCTCTTCGTGACCTTGTTAATGGCAAGAATTAGAGTAACAAGGACTTGGGAAAGTGTTGAGACCATAAAGAAAAGAAAATCAGAGTTGTTCCCCATCTCCTAACCCCTGCCAAATGCCCAAAGCCAAGAGCTCCATCTATGTCAACCCAAATCTTTTTAGTTTTATTTATTTAAAAACAGGTTTTTTTTAAGTTTATTTATTTTTGCGAGAGAAAGACAGAGTGCTAGTGGGGGAAGAGCAGAGAGAGGAGAAGAGAGAGAGACACAGAATCTGAAGCAGGTTCCAAGTTCTAACTGACTGAGCCACCCAGGTGCCCCTATGCCAACCCAAATCTTAAGAGGGTGGGTATATACAGTACTTTGGGATGGCTATAAACCAGAAACAAACCAAAACAAGGAAAACTTACCCCAAATCTTTGTGTGATGGTGACCAATTCCTCACTTGTGGTTCGGCCTCTAATGACAATGAGCATTTCTCCCCAGTACTCACTTCACTTCTGATATTCATTAACATAACATTTCATGTTATGAAGTGATAAATGCTATAAAGAAAAATAATTCATTAGCATGGAATTAGGAAAGTGTAACTAGGGGCGCCTGGGTGGCGCAGTCGGTTAAGCGTCCGACTTCAGCCAGGTCACGATCTCGCGGTCCGTGAGTTCGAGCCCCGCGTCAGGCTCTGGGCTGATGGCTCGGAGCCTGGAGCCTGTTTCCAATTCTGTGTCTCCCTCTCTCTCTGCCCCTCCCCCGTTCATGCTCTGTCTCTCTCTGTCCCAAAAAAATAAATAAACGTTAAAAAAAAAATTGAAATTTATAGTTACACTTTCTTTTTTTATTTTTTTATTTATTTATTTTTTATTAAATTTTTTTTTCAACGTTTATTAATTTTTTTGGGACAGAGAGAGACAGAGCATGAACGGGGGAGGGGCAGAGAGAGAGGGAGACACAGAATTGGAAACAGGCTCCAGGCTCTGAGCCATCAGCCCAGAGCCTGACGCGGGGCTCGAACTCACGGACCGCGAGATCGTGACCTGGCTGAAGTCGGACGCTTAACCGACTGCGCCACCCAGGCGCCCCATAAATTTCAATGTTAAATAGAATAGTCAGGGAAAACCCTCATTTCTAAGGTGACTTTTGAGGAAAGTCATGAAAAATGAAATTGGAAAAATATTTTTATTGATACGGAAAGATGTTTCTATCTTGGTAAAAAAGAAAATAGAAAACAATATATACAGTATGATCCCATTTTGCTAAAATAAATATGTAAATATGTGTGTGTGTGTGTACATGCCTCTGTATGTATTTATGTACTGAAAATTTCAGGAAGGATATATGCCAAAATATCATTAGTGATTATCTGTGGGTGTTGGATTTTACTGGTGTTTTATTTTGTTCTTTTTACTGTCAGTATTTTCTGATTTTTTTTTTATAAAGAACACATATTTCTGGTACAGCATATTAAAATAAGTTTTTTAAGTTTTTAAAAAGTTAACGAAGCAGAATAGAAAATAAGCAGCCCAAAGGAGGTTCTTTCTCATTTAAGTGCACACCTCACTTCCCTGCAAGGACAGACCTAAGGAATTAAGGTAGGCGAGGCTAGACTTTGCATTAGAAAATAATTGAGAGTTGGCTCCACGATAGAGGTAAGTCTATGATCAAGGTTTCAAGGTTCTGTATCAGCACTGTCCAACAGAAATATAACGCAAGCCATATATGTAGTTTTACATTTTCTAGTAGTCTCAGTAAAACAAAAAGGAACAAGGGCGCCTGGGTGGCTCAGTCAGTTGAGCGGCCGACTTCGGCTCAGGTCACGATCTCGCGGTCCGTGAGTTCGAGCCCCCCTTCAGGCTCTGTGCTGACAGCTCAGAGCCTGGAGCCTGTTTCGGACTCTGTGTCTCCCTCTCTCTGACCCTCCCCCGTTCATGCTCTGTCTCTCCCTGTCTCAAAAATAAATAAATGTTAAAAAAAATTAAAACAAAAAAAAAAAACCCAAAAAGGAACAGTTATAAAACTAATTATCACAATGTTTTACTTAGCCCAGTGTAAAAATTATTATAGTTTCAACCTATAATTAATATTAAGTAATTATTAATTTATTTTACAGTCTTTTGTTCATATAGAGTCTTGCAATTCCGTGTATATTTGATACTTTTAGTACATCTCCAGTCAGACTACTCATGTTCCAAGTGCTCAAACCATTTGTGACTAATAGGTACCATATTAAATAACGTAGTTCTAGGTTATAGAGAATTATTGCAGCATGCAAAAAAAGCAAGCGTTAAAAGCAGGAATGAAACTACCAAAAAGCCAAGTATTTATGTTGTTTAGTGAGAAAACTTTTCCCTTTTGTACAGAACTGGAGTTGCCCTCATCCGTTTTTAGTGATTTAATTCTTTTTTTTTTTTTTAAGTTTATTTGAGAGAGAGAGAGAGAGAGAAAGAGAACGCACACATGGTGCATGGGAGGGGCAGAGAGAGACGGAGAGAGAGAATCCTAAGCAGGCTCTGCACTGTCACCATGGTGCCCGATGCGGGTTTTACACTCACAAACCATGAGATCCTCTGACCTGAGCTGAAAACAAGAGACAGACACTTAACCGACTGAGCTACCCAGGCACCCCTAATTCTCCTTTTTTTCCACTATCCATTCACTTCTATTAGCACATTTTTCCTTCTTCTGGCACACAGCATCAATGAGTTTCCATTTTCCCAAAATTCCATGGCCCTCTATTGAGAGGTTACTAATGAAGGAAAATTATACTCATAATGGGTAGATTTCATATCATTGCATAATAATTTTTTACAAATTCATTCTTAGAAACTTATCTCTTTGATGTTCTCTATGCATCAACAACAGGTAAGATATTAAAATTATTACGGAAGATCATTAATTCAGTTATCATTTATTGAATACAGAGTGATGGGCAATGAGAATACAAATATAATTACGATGATGTCCCTGTCTTTTACAGTTTACAGTCTAATAGGGAAATATCTTACTTTACAAGTCACCATTCAAATATCTTTTTAAATGTGTTTGTAAAAGTAATCATGCTTATTAATTTGGGAGTTGGAAGGTTTTTTAATTTTAAACAAAAATAATATATGATATTGTGGAAAAAAATCATAGAACATAGAAAATTATGAGTCAGTTATAATCCTACTACTCAGAAATTACTACTATTAATATTTTGGCGTATTTCTTTCCCATCTTCTGTCTGTGCTTATATTTTATGATCATACTGTATATACAATTTTCTATACTACAATTCTGCTTACCATTATATTGTAGTTTTTCCTTGTTACTAAAAATGTTTTGAAGGCATAATGACCATATAAAATTACATCTATGTGTATATAATAATTTTCCTGAGTATGTCACTTGGACATTCAAGTTACTTACATTTTTTTCACTCTGATGAATGTCTTTATTCTCAAATGTTTATCCAGTTTTTAGATTATTTCTTTAGAGCAGATCATAAGAAATACAATTACTGGTTTAAGAATCTCAACATTTTGAAAGCTTTTAGTACATATTACCAAAGGAAACATCGAACTGATTCTTGCTCCCTTTTTTCCCCTGAAGTCCAAGTTATTTATTTTTTCAGTCCAAATTATTTTTTTATCTTAATTTTCTTAAATGTTTATTTATTTTTGAGAGAGAGAGAGAGAATGAGCGGGGAGAGGCAGAGAGAGTGAGAGACACAGAATCCAAAGCAGGGTCCAGGCTCTGAACTGACAGCACAGAGCCCAACACAGGGCTCAAACTCACAAACTGCAAGATAATGACCTGAGCCGAAGTTGGAAGCTTAACGGACTGAGCCACCCAGGTGCCCCAGTCCAAATTATTTTTTTAAAAAATAAGACATCATAATGATACTTTAATCATACTTTATATACAATTTTATATTTACTTCTTTGGCCTAACATAATTACTTTTGCATGTTATTACACACTATGTGTAAACCTTTTAATAGGTGCATAATAATCTTTGGATATAATAACTTGCCTAAACATTTGTCTATTGTGGGAATTTAGTCTTTTTCTGAATTTCAACATCATACATAATGTAATTTTTGTGTATTAAAGCAGACCTTGTAACAATTTTGATCTAAGTTTCGAAAGTTGGCTCTGAATTCCCTGCTCATTTTTTTCTTTTTTTAAAAAATTAAAAAAAAAATTTTTTTTACATTTATTTATTTTTGAGAAACAGTGAGACAAAGCGTGAGCGGGGGAGGGGCAGAGAGAGGGGACAGAATTTGAAGCAGGCTCCAGGCTCTGAGCAAGCGGTCAGCACAGAGCCTCATGTGGAGCTTGAACGCACAAACTGTGAGATCATGACCTGAGCAGAAGTCGGATGCTCAACTGACTGGGCCACTCAGGCACCTCCAAAATTTTTTAAAATGTTTATTTATTTTTGAGAGAGAGAGAAAGAGAGAGAGATAAGTAGGGGAAGGGCAGAGAGAGGGAGACACAGAATCTGAAGCAGGCTCCAGGCTCTGAGCTATCAGCACAGAGCCTGACACAGGGCTCTAACTCCTGAATGGGGAGGTCATGACCTGAGCTGGTCAGATGTCCCACCACTTTTTACCACCTACTCACTGCTAATTAGTTCCATGACTTGGGTGTTACTTCACTCTTTCTTCATGCCTAAAACAAGTTATAGTTTTGGAAATATTTGCTTCATAGAGTTGTTGTTAAGGATTCAATGAGATATAATAAGGAATCTAGGATTGTACCTATTACAAAATCAAGTGCTCAACAAAATTAGGATTTGAAGCATTATTTAAAAAATCACATTTCCCTTGATTTGCCTGATTAGCTTAAATCAGGCACCAATAAAACATCAACATCTTGATTAGGTTAAGATTAGTAGAAAACCTTTTTCTTCCAGCGACTTCACAATCTTTTAGGGTTTGTCTTCAGTGCTCACGTTAGTTCTCCCAGACCACTGGAGCTGCGATGGCTGCTGAAGTAATTTTCAGTGAAATTTTAAGAACTATGACTCTGCTCAGAATTCCCCTGTTCCTGAGGTAAGGATTTTTGAGAAGTGAGGGTGAGGGGAAGAATGGGGTATATTGAAAAGCTTTTGACTTTTTGGTTTGCTAACAGAGATCTCCTCTTGTCCAAATCCCTGCCCCAGCCATACACATCCTATTGGGGTTGTCTGATTTAACTAATTTGAATGGCCTCATTTGAATCTGGCTGTCAAACCGTAGCTTGGTCTGGCCACAAATAACCCTTTTGCAAACTTAACACCGTCATTCCTTACTTTTTAAAAAATGCGTAGTAACACTGCTACAATAGGGCAACCCTGCTTTCCAGGACTAGGTCTCATTGGTTATCTCAGAGTACAAACGTGTGTTGGGAACCTGCGAGGAGGAATTCCTCTGCGGACTGAAGGAAGGTTTGGGGGCTGGGAAAGCGTTGAAAAATGAGGGTGGCACCCAGATCCCCAATAAATGCAAACATTTATTGGCTATTAGGTACAAAGCATACTGCCCCACAGTGGGGTTGCAAATATAAGTAGGATCCAGCCACTCATTCCCAAACTCACAATGCAGGACAAAATGAGCGCACAGTGGGAGTAGGCCTGCTTGTCATGGGAAAGGAGAGGGTAGTGAAAGGTTCTTCAGTAGAGGTGATGCTGGGGCTTGCAGTGTACATGGGTACACTGCGTGTAGAGGTACAGACCTGTGTGCAGGTACACCCCCCTGGAACGAGAAGGGTGGAAATAGCATTTGCGAAGTAGGCTGGTCCTGAGATCTCTTAAGGCCACGGTAAAGTTTTATTTTTACCGGGCCAGCAAAAGGGAGCCGGCTCTAAGTAGCGGCAAGGCTTGGAAAGATGACACTGGAAGCTGAGAGACCTATTAGGGAGCTGTAGCAAACAGTCCAAGAAAAAGGCTAAAACTGGGGTATGAACAGGGGTTTGTAAAGTATGCCTGTGCAAGGAAGACAGATCAGACAGGGCTAGTGGCTCTGGAGTGAGGATTCCCCCAGCTTTTTGGTTTGGGAGAATTGGTTGGTGGATGTTGGTACCAATAACCTGGATGGGAAAAGCAGGCTTACTGGAGAGCGCCATTCAGAACCTCCATTTCCAGCAATATCCCATCTACTGATTCTTTCCTGGTCAGCAAACCAGATTCCAGAAACCGCCTCAATGTTTCCGGCCTCTGCCTTCCAACAGCTCTCTAGTTGGCAACCAGTAGTGTCAAAATGGCGGCCTCCCTAAGGACTAGTCATGTGACCTCGGGTTTCCCTTGATGGAAGCCTGGCCGTCCGTTGCAGGGCAAGGTTCACCTGTCACAAAACGGGTGTTAGCCCTTCAAATCCCGCGAGCCAATCGGCATCTGAGACGGCCGGTGCGGCAAGGCGATCGGAAGACTGGTTCTTTCCCCTCACCCAGCCAGCAGCCAATCCCCGAACGTCATATACTTCGCGGATCCGCCTGGAGGCGGGGCGGGAAGCAGGAATGTCGTCACAGCTCTGGCGGTATTGTTACCTAAGGACTTGAGAGGAGGTGGGACATATGTTGATTGACAGACCAATTCCCCTACCGGGATTTGAGAATTTCGTGCAATATCCCGCCTTAAGGGTGGGATCTTATTTGATTGTCAAGTAATATTCCCCAATGGAGTCCTAGCTGGTGGTGATGGGCAGGCCTCTAGACTAATGAATCCTCGGCGTGCCCGGCGCAGTTCTCCAATCGCCGGGCGGCGGGCCCCAGTCTGAGCGGCGATGGCGGCGGCGGCGGCGGCGGCAGCAGCAGCGGGGGCTGCGGGCGGTCGGGGCTCCGGGCCGGGGCGGCGGCGCCATCTTGTGCCCGGGGCCGGTGGGGAGGCCGGGGAGGGGGCCCCGGGGGGCGCAGGGGACTACGGGAACGGCCTGGAGTCTGAGGAACTGGAGCCTGAGGAGCTGCTGCTGGAGCCCGAGCCGGAGCCCGAGCCCGAAGAGGAGCCGCCCCGGCCCCGCGCCCCCCCGGGAGCTCCGGGCCCTGGGCCTGGCTCGGGAGCCCCCGGCAGCCAGGAGGAGGAGGAGGAGCCGGGACTGGTCGAGGGTGACCCGGGGGACGGCGCCATTGAGGACCCGGTGAGGGAAGGAGGGCGAACGAGCAGGGCCGTCCGTGTCACGGGAGGCCCAGAGCTCGGGCGAGCGGGAGGCAGGCGGGAGGCAGGCGGGGGGTGGGGGTGGGCGGGGAATAACGTGGCTGGGGCAGGGCCGGGGACGGATCCTCGACCGCCAGAAGGGGCCTAGCCGGGTTGATTCGGGCGTTATGGGTGCTTAGTGTTGTTTTAGAGAAGGTAGCTTGCTTTTCTTTTCATCGTGACCCGCGTGTGGGGCGAGGGAAATGGCCGAGCATGAGGCCGCGCTCGGACGGAGAGCTGGGCGCAGCCCTTGCGTTGGTTTCTGTTAAGCTCTTCTCCATACCCTCTCCACTCATTGTAGGAGCTGGAAGCGATCAAAGCTCGAGTCAGGGAGATGGAGGAAGAAGCCGAGAAGCTAAAGGAGCTACAGAACGAGGTAGAGAAACAGATGAATATGAGTCCACCTCCAGGCAATGGTGAGTAACTGGCGGTTGCACGCGGAACCCGGGTCCTCGGAAGGGTTATGCGAACACGGGTTGTATGGGATTAGATGCTCGGGACTTCGAGGCTGCTTGTCTGAGCAGTTACTGGGCAGGTGCTGTGGTCATTGTCCATTGTGTGTTCCTCTGACCTTAGTGAGGCAAAAACCTGTTTTGATGATGGTAATCTTGTGCCTTTCTTTGTCCTTTTTACATGTGTGTTGCTCTTTGTTCTTTATTCTACCTCTACTCTTTGTGGAGGTTTCCAATTGGCATTTGACCTTCAAGGCTCATGGTTCTTTTAGTTTGAGACCTTTTAAGAGTCCTAAGAAATTGCTCCACTACGGGGGCTTTCCCTTTAATCCAGAAATGTTGAGTTTGGGTTCCCTTGATTTTGTTCACTTTTCAAATGATTTCACTCAAAGTTATTCAATAAACAGGGACTTGGTTTGGGGGAAGGAGGGAATTCCTGTACTGTTCTCTCTGGTTTTTAGGACTGTGTTAATCTGTTGCTGATTTGTCAAATGTTCACTGAGTACCTATTGTGTGTTAGATGGTATTCTTGATAATGGGTACAGCAGGGAACAGAGCAGACCTAAATCTTTGCCTTCACTGTAGCACTGGTGGTGGGAGGGGTACACTTATTGGTCAAATAGAAAACTAGCTTTGTTTTCCCCTCCGATTTCTTTTTTCTTCAAAGCTGGTCCAGTGATCATGTCCATTGAAGAGAAGATGGAGGCTGATGCCCGTTCCATTTATGTTGGCAATGTATGTATTAGGGCCCTGATTGGTGTTGGGGGAAGCTCTTGTTTTGGGAGTTGCTTAGTAGGAGTATTGAAAGGAACATCTCAAGGATAGGTGGTGGATTTGGGGAATATTGGGAGGGTTTGGAGGAGGTAAAAGGTACTGGTGATCAGCAGAGGCTTTAGGGTTGGGAAGAGAAAAGGATTAGTTTCTTAAAGAATCAGATTTGATGTGCCTTGGTGTATATGGTGGCCCAGCCCAGAGGCTCGGCAGAGATACCTGTTGAGATGGGAGCTTGTTTGCCCAGTACCTGTGAAACATAACCCCTTTATCCCTACAGGTGGACTATGGTGCAACAGCAGAAGAGCTGGAAGCACACTTTCATGGCTGTGGTTCAGTCAACCGTGTTACCATACTTTGTGACAAATTTAGTGGCCATCCTAAAGGGTAAGTAGGGAAGTAAGTTGAGGTTATTTTAATCACATTTTAAAAGTAGACAAAATATTTTATATTGAACAGTAAGTTAACTTGCTGTTAAAGTAAGTGGTGTTCATCTTACGAGGAATTAATGTTGATATATATCAGGGGTTGCACGTAAATGCTTTCAGAGGCCTTGAGATAAAGATGAAGGTTAGTGTGGGTGTATTCGTGGGCTAGAAGAGAGAGGGACAGCTTCTGCTTAGCCCTAACTGGTTCTGCTATATGGAAATCCAGGCCCTGTGGATACTGTTTTATAATTTTCCAAGAGTAGCTAGAAATTTGTATTGAAATCTTGCATTTAAGAATTTTTTGAAAAGTAATAAAAAATGTGGATGTGTTATTGCTTGAGTAAAGCATGCCTAAAAATTGGATTTGACACGTAAGCTGCTTTTTTAAACTTCAGATAGATAAAATGACTATTATTCTTTTCAGGTTTGCATATATAGAGTTCTCAGACAAAGAGTCAGTGAGGACTTCCTTGGCCTTAGATGAGTCCCTATTTAGAGGAAGACAAATCAAGGTAAGCCCCATGCCCATTGCTGTTCTGGTTCTGTGTAAACTCTCCAGGCTTATTCTGAGGCTTTTTGTTGTATATCCGTCACTGTCAGGTGATCCCAAAACGAACCAACAGACCAGGCATCAGCACAACAGACCGGGGTTTCCCACGAGCCCGATACCGTGCCCGGACCACCAACTACAACAGTTCCCGCTCTCGATTCTACAGTGGTTTTAACAGCAGGCCCCGGGGTCGCGTCTACAGGTCAGGATAGATGGGCTGCTCCTCTCCCCCCGCCTCCCATGAGCCCTGTATGTTTCCTTCTCTCCTGATCTGAGGAATCTCCCTCACTTACCCTCCCCTTGGTCTCCAGGGACTTGGTCTCCTGCCTGTGCAGGGTGAGGAAGGTAGTTGCAGGCCAGGCCAGGAGGCCAGTCTCATCATCGTTTTCTGGAGCAAGAGTTGGTGATAAGGGCTGGATCTCTCCACTTTGTTCTGAGAGATGGTTCTTCCCCCAGCCTTTTTTCCCTTGAGAGTTGGTGGCAGTGAAGGTGTTTACAAAACAGGCCAGGAAGAACGGCCTCAGAGTAGTGAAGGCACTGCTTGGACATTTGCTACTTTTCCCAGAGTTAAGGAGGAGTTGAAGATTGAACCTCCCTTGGAAGAATACCAGAGGCTAGTTGATCCTTTTCAACAGCCATGTGGGAGGATAATGAGATACTTACTCTTTAACTGAGCCAGTGTTTTACAAGGTTAACTTTTTCTCTGGGCCTAGTGTGATGCCCATGTTGTTGCTTTATTATTATCTCTCTGCCTTTAAATAGACAGGATAAGCATATAGACCTTGGCTTTTCATAAGATTTACTTATCTACTCCCAGGAATTAGGGAGGATCTGATGGTGAAGGCCTGGGGTTTAGAGCTGTGGAGAACTGACTGAAAAGTGGATAAACAATAAGTCCGTTTTCTTGCCCCTATTATCTCAGATATGCTTTTTTGCCAATGGCAAGGTGTTCTGTTAAATTGTCCCCTCCCATTTGCCAGGTGTGTCACTATTTCTGGGATAATGGGGTCAGTTTTAGGATACTTGGAAACTTCTTTCCCCCCATTCCCTGCACTATAACTGGGGCAAGGGCCCATGGGGAGGGGCTTGTGCTGACTCTTAAGTGATTATGTTAACACCTAACTCTCCTTCTTTCTTCCAGGGGCCGGGCTAGAGCGACATCATGGTATTCCCCTTACTAAAAAAAGTGTGTATTAGGAGGAGAGAGAGGAAAAAAAGAGGAAAGAAGGAAAAAAAAAAAAGAATTAAAAAAAAAAAAAAGAAAAACAGAAGATGACCTTGATGGAAAAAAAAATATTTTTTAAAAAAAAGATATACTGTGGAAAGGGGGGAGAATCCCATAACTAACTGCTGAGGAGGGACCTGCTTTGGGGAGTAGGGGAAGGCCCAGGGAGTGGGGCAGGGGGCTGCTCATTCACTCTGGGGATTCGCCATGGACACGTCTCAACTGCGCAAGCTGCTCCCCTTGTTTCCCTGTCCCACTTCACCACCTTGGGGGCTGCTCAAGGGTAGGTGGGCATGGGTGGTAGGAGGGGTTTTTTTACCCAGGGCTCTGGAAGGACACCAAACTGTTCTGCTTGTTACCTTCCCTCCATCTTCTCCCTAACTTTCACAGTCCCCTCCTGCCTGCTCCTGTCCTGCCAGGTCTACCACCCATCCCACCCCTCTTTTCCGGCTCCCTGCCCCTCCAGATTGCCTGGTGATCTATTTTGTTTCCTTTTGTGTTTCTTTTTCTGTTTTGAGTGTCTTTCTTTGCAGGTTTCTGTAGCCGGAAGATCTCCGTTCCGCTCCCAGCGGCTCCAGTGTAAATTCCCCTACCCCTTGGGGAAATGCACTACCTTGTTTTGGGGGGTTTTGGGGCGTTTTTTTGTTTTTCAGTTTTTTGTTTTGTTTTGTTTTCCTTTGCCTTTTTTTCCCTTTTATTTGGAGGGAATGGGAGGAAGTGGGAACAGGGAGGTGGGAGGTGGATTTTCTTTATTTTTTTAGCTCATTTCCAGGGGGTGGGAGTTTTTTTTTTAATATGTGTCATGAATAAAGTTGTTTTTGAAAATAAAAATTGT